CCCTCTGATTGGTTCATGACATCTTAAGACTGTACTTAAGACGGTCTTGAATATAAGAATCGACTATGAATACCGCCCTAGGTGCATTCAATACTACGACCGCTCACTGAGCGCTGAATGAGCTCTTGTATCTGTTTGGTCTATATTTTTAGTTCTGACGGAATATGCCAATCAGATGCAAGATCAGATGCAATCACTGAGCGCTCAGTGAGCGGTTGTAATACTGAATGCACCCATTGGATGCATCCAAAAGTGCAGAGTGCTCAATGAGCAGTCGTGCTTCTGGATGCACCTATTGTGTATAATAGTCTAGTTATAGCGTCAAATTGTCATAAATTATAAAAATTAGGTGATTAATCTATTAAATTTTTTGGTTCTATTTACCGATTCAAGACGCTCTTTAAAAACGACATTTTTAAAATAATCTTCTATAGTATAATCTTCCATAGAGTAAACTTTAAGCAAGGAAGTTAACTCTCAAGTTAAAGATAACACTCAAGTTAAATATATGAAAATAATCCTAGGTTGAATGTCTTAAGTTTTTTTTAAACGCGTAAATATTCAAATTTTGAGTTTTTTCCATAAGAGATCTTGTGTGTTTGATTTAAATTTAATTTTAAAAAAATACTTGTAATGTTATTTAAGAACCAAAGTATGACTATATAAGAATCTTTGTAAAAAAAGAAATCAAAAGGGTTGACAAAATGTTTCCACCACGCACACACACACATACACGCACACATACACACATACACACACTCACACTCACTGTCTAGCTACAGCACGATACAATCGAGGTGTTTTTATTCTGCGAATCCTTTTGCCTGATCATAAGGCATATCACTACATGTATATTGCATTCACATATTAATTTTCAAAAGTTATAAAAATTTTTTTAATTTCTAATGTTTAATATTGCAATAATAATTAAGAAATAATTTAGAACAAAATTATTTGTTTGCAGCTCCGAGAGGTACACCACAATTTGAGGAAGAGCAGTTTTTATCCAAAGTATTTTTGTGGTTAGCAGTGATATTCATTTGCTGGCTGTTGATGGCATAACATTATTTCTAAATCACACACATACCAGTCTGCCCAATAATAATTTGTAATTTTTGTTTAATGATATCCTATCGATTTATGATAATCGCAACATTACATCGGTTTTCATTGCGTGATTTTTACAAAGCCTCTTTGAAAAAAAGAAATGAGAATACAAATTTACTTCCACGTATTTTACAACTGTATAACTCTAAAGAAATTCATTTTTTTTTTCATTTTTACTTCCGAAAAGAGGCAAAAAGATATATTGAATTTTTGTCCATATAAAACGTTTTACATAATTTCCTTAGCATTTATATACTTCGAACAAGGTTAAGCTCCAGACAAAACGCGAGAGAATAGCAATAGGAATAATACGGTTTTAACTCGTGAAAAATTGAATATACCGAAATACACAGTCTTTGATGGGTTGAAATCGTATTATCGCTATCTCCATTTTCTCGCATTGTGTTTGGTGCTTTATTCTTCTATTTGGATAATTCTGATATTTTAATGTTAATCTTTTTTATGTATATATTATATTCAGGAGAAAGACGTAATAAGCATAAGGAGCGCGTAATCTGTTATTCAATATATTAAAAGTATAAAAGTGTATAATAAATATTAAAACAATAAATAAAGGCTCCTACATTTAAATTAATCGATAATGATGGTACAGTGAATAAGCCTATGTGAGCCAATACAAGTTCTTCGTGTGTAAATGTATATATATTACAATTAAATTAAAATACAGACGAACGTTTCAACCCTGGTTGAACATACGAAGAACTTGTATTGGCTCACATAGGCTTATTCACTGTACCATTATTATCGATTAGTAAAAATGTATAACTTAAGTGAAAACACAGAAAAATATTAATGTATTCATTAAGCTAAAACGCGCGGTTTTATGAGAAACTGCAAATTTGAACAGTGTATATAATAAATAAATAAATATATGTATAGTGTATATAATTTTGAATTTAAATAAAAATTATGTGTATGCATTTAAATGATATTATTGTTACATATTAATGTATACATATACATATATGTATATATTATATATTCGTAGTTAATATTTATTGAAATATTGAAATATAACAGCTCATAAAAAATGGATTCTCACGAAAATATCAGCAATTAATTTATTCATAGTTCTTTCATTCGATGATGCTCAATTTCATTCTTTTATTATGCTTTTGAGAAATTCTTTATTACTCAAATCTCAAGACCATATTAGATGATACTTAATCAAAATGTTGTTTTATGTTCTGAGATACAGTTCAATAACCATTTTAATTAGAGATCTTAAAATTCAGTTGAGAAACGAAATGATTATGTAAAATCTGACTCGAAATACAAAATAATTAAAACAGCACTTGCTTGAAAATAATTTTTTCTATGTCAAATTATTGACATGTCAATTAACATGTATTAGTAACACATCAAATATGGATCAAGTTAATTATTAAAAAAGACATGCCTTTCCAAAAAAAAAAAGGAAAATTCTATCATCTTTGAAAACAATTTTTTTTAGAATGTATAATAGAACTCAGACCGAACCGGAATCAGAACAAAAAACCGTTCCGTGTAACCCTGTTTTTTTTTTTTAAATGAACCAAAATCGAGACCAAGTTCTACAAAGTTTATAACTATAAATAAAAGTTAATACCGACATTATAATCAAACAAATAATATTACTTTCGATTCATTCTCCTGTTCTTAATTTATACGTAGGTGTATTCTTTATAGCTAAACTGATTTCATTAGATCAGAGTATGTCTTTCTTCCACGTTGGGAAATTCTGAACTAGTGCAGCCAGTAATGTATAAGTATGTATGTGAAAAACTCTTCCTCTCCATTGTCTCGCTTTTCCTTCCCTCGCTCTCTCTCTCGTATTCGTTTGTTCATATTATCATTACAATTATGATTTATGAGTCACTGCACATATAAGAAAATTCCGTCCAAAGAGTAGTGGGACACTGAATGTTAATTTACTGTTGATGCAAGAAAGAATTGTTATAAATCATTTTTGAAATATCTTTCGAGAGAGAATTTATTGAAATATAGAACTTCAATATTGTATTATATAAATTTTAATGGTTTTCTAATTATTACGCATTAATTTTCGCGCCTGACTCTTATGCCTTTTTATTTTATAATTGAAATAGAACTATCTTTGAATCGGAATTCAAAAATACTCATTTAGATTTAGTTGAATTATATAACATGAATAAATTTCATAAAAAAAATTTTTAATTTTAATTGACGCATTTTTATATTTTTTTAAAAGAAATATTAAAGATATTATTTAAATTGGAATAGAAAGATTATAAATATAAACTTTTGAATGGAGATACAATTTAAATAAAATTGTATAACATGTAAAAACGTAAAAAATCTTTTTTCTTGTTGATAATAGTAAATCAAAATGTTACCTATATTATTTTGTGATATAACAAAAGACTGTGAAAAGACTGTATAAAAAGTAACTGTAATTGTAACTCATTACTTTTTAGAGTAAGTAACTTGTAACGGTAACTAGTTTCTTTTACAAGTAACTTTTTCCAACCCTATATTATGTATCTTGCAATGTTAAGCATTTTAAAATATATAATAGAATGTTGCAGAGAAGTTATTTTTTGTAAATATTATAATATTTTCTAAAAAACGTATTCAAGAATATTCACCACAGATTTTATTCTCAACAAGTTACTAATGCTCTTCTTATAACATACAATATATTATTTAAACAATATATTATTTTAATATATATTTTGTAATATATTACATAAGTACTTATATAAACACTATGTAATGACATAATTAGTGTGTAGATAATCTCCTGATAAAATAGAGCAGGTCTGTTCAATTTGAGCTCCGAAGCCAAAACGCAAATCCATCAATGCAAAAAAGTTCAATATAAGATTTCATGGACTGTTGGTAAGCGTCGCTCAGACGCGTATCGACACTTTATAGTCTCCGAAATCTTACCCATATTGAACTTTTTTGCGTCGATGGTTTGCGTTTTGGCTCCAGAGGTCAAATTGAACAGGCCTGAAATAGAGAATAAGCATATTTTCTCTTTTTCTCTTTCATTAATATCGAAAATAAGATAAGACAGTCATATAGTTCATTAAATTTCTTTGTGTTTTGTCGAACATTTTCGCGTATCAAGATTGAGAATCTGTTACTCTTGAAAAGACATTTTTATCAATTACTTTTGAATAAATCATACACAATAAGAAATATATTCAACACAATCAGGGCTGCGGTCCACTTGACGCTACAAACGCTTCGAAGCGTTTGAGCGATCAATCAGAACAAAGAATTTTACGAATTGACTAATCAAAGAATGCTTCGAAGCGTTTGTAGCATCAAGTAGAGCGCAGCCCAGAATGATTCGATATCCAAAATAGATATACTCGTATAATCACACGATTATACAACCGGTATTTATAGTCAGATCTTATATTCAAGACCGTCTTAAGTATAATCTTAAGAAGTCACGAACCAATCAGAGGGCCGTATTAGCGTCTTAAGACATTACTTAACACGCATTCTACAATAAGCCATTAATCATAAATCAGAAGTTAGAAGTTGGAAATTGACCAATCACAATCGTCAATTTCCATCTTCTAACTTCTGATTTATGACTAATGGCTTATTATAGAATGGCCATGAGACAATCTTGAAATAAAAACGGATTATGAATACCGCCCGATATTACAGGAAAGTTTATAGCGTCAGTATCATGCACTTTTCTAATCCTTTCATTAATAGGGGAATCATTGAGTGGTCTTCATTTATCTTCGTTCATATAAACTACTCACATAGAACAAAATATATAATAGATATCTAGCGAATATCTACATGTCCATATCTAATGGATAACTACTAATAGACATCTAGATACATATATAGCATATAGAATGTGCTGCTAGAGGTATAAAAAAATGCCTCTGACAATCTCGTAAACAAGATTTTTTATGGAGTAAGTAAAAAACATGGCACGTAACAACTCAATATAAAACGCTCCGATAAAGTCTGATAGATATATATGTGTGTGTGTGTGTATTTGTTTGTGTGTGTGTATGTGTGTGTGTGTGTGTTTGTGCGCGCACAAAAATACTTAAAATTAGATATTCTATGGATATTCAAGAGATCTCAATATCTCTACATTTCAATATGTAAATCCTATGTCTAATGGCTGTTGATTACGAACTTATGGATATCCTTAGTATCCATAGAGGATATCTAACATATTATGTTCTGTGTAGGTAGGTATATAATAGTTCTCAATCTGTCAATGAAAATTTAATCTAAATTTAATTGAAGTTATATTTAATTTAAATTTATTTATATCTAAAATTTGTGTGTGTATGAGTATTGTGCCATGTAATTCAAGTTCATCCAATCTTCAATTTTAATTCATAAATTTTATACTCGTCGATGTATGATAATTTTGAACAGATGCTATGTTGGGTGCATTCTGTTTACTCACTCACACGCTGTAAGCATCGGTTCATACTTGTTATCTATCAAACTTTAAATAAGGGCAAATGAAGCTTACAAGCACTTTAAGTCCAAAACAGAACGTACTCTTAATTTACAGATGACATCATTATCATACGATAAAATCATTCTCTTGAATTTTATATACAAAAAGAGAATGGTACTCTAATTTAGAGCTGAGCTATATTTGTATATTTCGGTCAATTTTCAGTTTGGTTAAATGCCAATCGGCATTTAAACTGTGCGCTGATTAGTGAGGTAAAGGGCGAGAACCAAGTTGAAAATCGGTCGAAATGTGCAGATATTGCCCAGTTCTGCTCTAGTAATTAAGAGTATTATACCATAGTGTGCTATACCGTAGTTTCATTAAAAAAAGGTGAACATAAACAGATTTTAGTAATATCTGTGCCATTTTAGGCAATATTTAAAAAGCCCTTATTTCTGTAAACAAATATTTATTGTAAGAAATAATCGCGATATATACAGGTTCTGAAACTCGCGAATCAAAATATCACAACAAGAAAATATTCGAAAAATTAAGTAAAAAGGTTATATGTACATTTTTATTTAAAGCAATAGTTTTTTTGCAGAGGTAAGAGTTTAAATTTAAACACTTTATTTATATATTTCGACTTTAAATATAGCCATTTACAGATTATGTTTCGACAACCATCTGTCTATGAATCGCATGTACGGTAATATTAATACACGCACATTTCAACGTACTTTTACTTAATTTTTTGAAAATTTTTTTACTGTAGTATTTTGATTCGCGAACTTTGAAATATTCTGTATACTTGCAAATAATAATTCCTACTATTTTGTGCAATTATGATTATTCTGGCATTAATGTCTTAAACATTATCGTTTACGACATAGGAGGATATTATTAGTTATGAAAAAAGACAGACAAATATCGGAACACTTTATGAGAAAATAGTGGTGAATTTATTTAAATATCACGAGGCTCATGCGGATCCGGGAGTTTCTGCCAGTTCGGTTCAACACCCCAAATCTCGCGCGCATACTCCGCTATTGTACGATCTGATGAGAATTTTCCCGATGAGGCTATGTTATGGATAGCCATTTCTACCCATTTGGTCTCGTCCTGAAACAATTAACAAGCGATTATTGTATCATGGAGATCTTGTAGAAAATTAAAATTTCAAGTTAAAATTAAATTTAAATTAGAATTTTTTTGAATAAGAATGCAGGAATGGTCCTAGCTATTTCAAAGCAGACAATCACAAACGATTGCAAAACTATTGTGTTCTGCTAAACGCAGTCAATTAACGATATCGTTGCAATCATTAAGAGTTATAGAATAGACTCCTAGAAACAGTATTTCTGCGACATTCTCATACGACATGCGACACAGTCTGTGCGACTTGTAGATGCTTTAAAGTAGTACATCCGCGAATTAAAAATAAAATTTCTTAAAATTGAAATATACATCGTATTAGAATATTATTATATGCTTGTGCAATGAAACTGACCGATCGAAAGTAGTTGGCGCGCAGTCATATATCTGAGATAAAAAATTTATTTTAAATACATGTGCCTGTATCAGTCTAACATATAACTTTGATATAATTGGCGTTTCTCGTACTTAGTTGATTTAAATGTTCCAGTCAATCTTTTTTATAAAAAGTTTATAAGAAAGGTAATTACAAAAGATTAAGTACCTGATAAACTTTGCTAACATGATCCTGTATGTTTATATAGCTCTCGTAATCAGCCAAGAGTAGGAATCTATCCCACTTAAGCAATACATCAGCAATATCTTGGAATTCATCAGGATTATTTGGGCTGAAGAATCCTCCTTGGATTTGATCGATACACTGTTTAGCTTCCGGTAATTTGTTATAATAATCGTACGCATTATAACCTTTTCTTTGTAGAGCTTCTACTTCCTCTACTGTCATACCAAAAATGAAGATATTCTCATTACCCATCTCTTCTGCCATTTCTACATTTGCTCCATCTAAAGTACCAACGGTTAATGCGCCGTTCAGCTAAAAATAAAGCAGAGCTCCATTATCTGAACCAAATTTTATAATTTACAATTTTAAAAAAATAACTGCAATCATAGAAACATGTTAATACTTATTAAATAAATTAGATAAGATCACAAGAAGTAATTAAGATCATTCGTGGTTTCATGTTTGTCAAGTGAGTTTATTATCGAGATTATCTCGCCAGACATGTAAACAAATGCGTAATCTAAAATTTCATTTCGTTGCCAAGTATTACTGACCATAAATTTCATATTGCCAGTGCCAGACGCCTCGGTGCCAGCAGTCGAAATTTGCTCGCTCAAATCCGCGGCTGGTATGATTTTTTCGGCCAAGGTCACGCGATAATTTTCAAGGAAGATTAACTTGAGCTTATCACCAACGATCGGATCATTATTGATAACATTAGCAACGCTGCAGATGAGTTTAATAATCTTCTTTGCCAGATGATAACCTGGCGCTGCCTTACCACCTATCATCACAGTTCTCGGAACAAAATAAGCAGACGGATCTTTTTTTATTCGATTGTATAAAGTGATGACATGTAAACAATTCAATAATTGTCGTTTGTACTCGTGAATACGCTTCACCTGTTAACAAAATATCATAATTCAATCTTGTATTATGTCATCTCAAACCTTGTTGAATTTTTTTTTCATGCAGTTTAAGATTCGGCTCTCAAGAGGCGCCAGTTTGGTTGTGTGACGTTAGAGACGAGAAATGACACGCAATAAATTAATTGCGGCTGTTTTTAACAATTGAGAAATGTATCATTATTTCAGGAATTATTTCACACTTTTACTTGAAATATCAAACACGTGTTTGTATTCGTTGTCTAACCTGGATATCAAAGATAGATGCTGGATTAACCCGAACGCCATATTCTTTCTCTAATGCTTGAGCTAGTCGCAATTTATTTTCCTGTTTGACTTTAACAACATTTCGTTGGAATACCGGATCCTTCGCCCATTTCTTCAATTGTTCCAATTGTTCTAGATGAACTGTCCATTCGCTACCGATTTTCTACAATTATTAAAAAATCGCAAAATTATATACATGTAAAAGATACACATATATAATTCGTAGTTATAAAAATCAAAAATTTGGATAGAACTTAAACTGAAACCGATAACACTTTCTTAAAATGAATCAAAATCATTAGATGTATTGAAATTTTACAACGTTCATTTTATGGTACCGGAACCACACACATAAACAAATCGATAAAATTAATTTACAGTTTTTTCAGTATTCATAATTTGTTACTTTTAATGTTTCATTTATTTACAAAAATCAATCATTTCTTCAAGCTAATAGAGTATTTTTTTAAGAGGACATTTCTATTTTTTTATTTTACTTGATAATGTTATTAATTAAAACAATTATAATTAAATAAATCGTGCATCCAGAACCAAACCGGAATATTTTTCAAATTCAGATCCCTGATTAAAATAATGTTCATGTATTTGAATACTGACTTCTTCAATTATATCAGACAGATTTGGATTACAAAGTAGCAGCCATCTTCTCGGCGTGATACCGTTTGTCTTGTTTTGAAATTTCTCCGGTGTCAGTTCGTAAAAGGCTCGGAAGCTAATAAAAGGAAGATATTAAACGTTTCGATAGTCTTCTCAAAGCATTGCTAGATTTAGAACTAAAAAAATTCTACGTACACACTGTCTTTGAGAATTTCAGAATGAATGCGAGCAACTCCATTTATGGCATGACTACCAACAATTGACACATGAGCCATATTAACTCTCTTTTCACCTTCCTCTTCTACCAAGGACATCTGACGAATACGGTCCATATTGCCAGGCCATTTAGCTGCGACATTTTGAAGATGCAAGTGATTTATTTCATAAATGATCTGCAAATGTCTTGGAAGAATACTCTCCAACATATGGGTGGGCCATCTTTCTAATGCTTCGGGAAGAACCGTGTGATTTGTATAGGCGCATGTACGTGTCGTAATGTCCCAAGCCTAAAAGTTAAGATATTCCAAGATATCTGTTTCGTATAATAAAGACTCCATTCTGTTACTATCAATGACACTATTAAGTATACATTTAGAAAAGCCGGAAATTGAAAAAAATCGGTCGTCTACAGTAATGGACTTACTACATATATATCAAATTACATTAGATATATCAATGATAATCTCGAATAGTTGCAAAAAGTAAAAGAAATTTTTAACTCTTTAAAGCTTTTAATAGATACCTTCAAAATTTTGAATACGTCGAAGAGAAAAGAAGAGGTTTTGTATTTTTTTTTAAAATATCTTATTTTAATTCGCATAACTCGTGGATTACCAGATTCCGAATCTATGAGATGTAAAAAATATTTTAAACAAAAATTATTTTTTCTTAGAAGAATATTAAAATGACTTTAATTTGGTCATGATTCAAGGTCATATCAAAGTCATTTTCATTATTTTAAAATGGAATAAAATATAAATTAACTACACATGAAAAATACATAATTATAAGTTGTAATTTTTTTCCTATTTTAATAAATTTTTTAAAATATCTTCTTTTTAACATGTAGATAATAATCCCATATGATAAACATACCTCCTCCCAAGAGAGTCTTTCAACATCGATAAGAATTCTCATCAGCTCGGGAATAGCTAGGGACGGATGCGTGTCGTTGAGTTGAATAGCTACTTTATCAGGGAAAGCTTTAAAATCAGTTCTATGGTGCTCCCTTGAGCCGAATTTGCTAGATTTATATCTTCGGATGATGTCTTGCAGAGTAGCAGCTACCATAAAGTATTCCTGTTTCAATCTGAGCTCTTTGCCTTCAAAGAAATTATCGTTGGGATAAAGAACTCTAGAAATATTCTCCGCCAGATTGCGATCAATCACAGCCTGTATATAGTCACCATCGTTAACTGTAAAGAGTCAGTAATACAGAAAAAAATCAAAATATAGAACAACTATTGTTGTATCATGGAAACTTATTGAGATTCGATACTTACAAAACTTCAAATTAAATTCTATAGGCGACTTTGCGGACCACAGCCTCAATGTGTTAACAACATTATTTTTGTAGCCGGGAATTGGACTATCATACGGCATGGCAAAAATAACCTGTATTAATAACATTAAATAAAATAACATAATTATTATTATTACAGATTATTTATACGAAGTATCCCCAAATCATCGGACATTCGTTTAATCAGAGATTTTCTATAAAATTTAGAAAATTTTTTTAATAAAATATCGAGAAATTCGCTATTTTATTTCTAACTTTGGGCATTTTTGTGAACAAGCTTTGAATTAAAACTTCGTTGAAATATAGTGTCGACGTATATACATAATTGTGTCATATTTTCTCTTGCAAGATTTTTAGCTTTACATTTTCCACTAAAACTGTAGATACGTCAGTATTTTGAAAAAGAGAAATCAGTCCAAATTGCAGGATTGGATAATAACTATACTTAGTAAGTTAAAAGATAAATAAAATAAGAGAGAGAGTTAAAAAATGAATAACTTTTAATTTAATTTAGTTAATTTTAAATGAATTAATTTTTATCTTAATTTAATTATCTTTAAATTTTAATTTATTAAATTTACTAAACAGAAAACTATGTTTGAGTTCATTAAACACATAGAGAAAACTTTGGCTCGTTGTCATAATCAAATACGTTAGAAATCAGTTTATTCCTATCATTAATAAACTCTTATAATATTCCATCTTATAATTTTAATAAAAAATTATTAATCAAATATGTTTAAATGAAACTAAAAAAATTGTGATTGTACACCCCGATGTCATTTTTCTTATTACAAAAGCGAATAAGAGTAACGTAATGTTTAATGAATAAGGCGGAGTACATTTCGAAATCTAATTATTTTTACAATGAGACAATGTTATATCATAATTTGTTTTGGGAAAAAATTATTTAATATAATTTTTAATATTGATGCGTTATATCCGTCACAAGATCTGTTATTGTTATTCACGATTTAAAAGCAGGATGACCATAATGATTGGCATCATCGTCGGATTACAACAGTGCGTTTAAATTGAGGACTATTGACGCTAATCTACGAGAGTATTGCAATGAATTTTAAAATTATAACAGCTTTCTAACAGTACCTCTAATTTTATATTACTAATGTTCCTGGATTTGGAATGAATTTGGTTTTTTGCTTTGCATAATTTTTTGATTTTTCTATCTGTATGTGACTTTAAATTTTGTACTATTTTTAATCACCGGTTATTGTAACCTTGATAATGACTTCATGTATGGATCAAAATATTTGTTAAAGCCCAGGTTCCACAACTCACAGTTAATTCTTAACCGAGGTTCAACTTGTTTCTCATCTCTTTCCAATTCTAGAATTAGAAAAAGACAGTGAATAAGTTGAACCTCGGTTAAGCGTTAACCGTGAGTTGTGGAACTAGGCCTAAATGCATGAATTTTATTTTGTAGTGGATTAGCACTGAAGTTTTAATTTAATCGGCTTTTAACCCTTTGGTTTATGATTGATTTTTAATCATTTGAACCGTTATTTCTCATCTTATTGTTTAATTTATTAATCTTTTTCTTTTTAAATTAAAGTTTTATTTTTATTCCTAAATAAATATTATTTTCTATAAAATCTTCATTAGATAATAGTATAGAAAAAGCTCCATGATTGTGTGATGGACGCGACGCTTGTAGTACCCAAAAATAAACGTGAGTTGAGTCTGCATTTAGGGAACGCTATTATGTCATGCTCATTTTATGTCTAACGAGCGATAAAAAAAGAATAAAAATTTTTTATTTTAATACATATTTTCAAAAAACATACAGGCATGGCCAGTACAAAGAGAAGATATAAGATTATTTACATTCTTAAAAATTCTATTTTATTTTTCTTTTATAATATCAAAATATGAAAAAAATATCTATATAAAAATACTAAAAATCAGTTTTTTATTGTACAAGAAATATCTCTGTCATTACAAATAAAATATTAAATATATCTGATGATCTATCTTGTAATTGTTTTGTTATTTAAAGTAAACTTATTTTTAAAAAATTAGGGTATCCTGATTTAATAAAAATAATGTCTTTCAAAATTTACTTTTTATTTAACTTGAGTTAATTTAATCTTAATGTAACTTTAACTGAATTAGTTTTTATTCATTAACTTTTAACTTAATTATTAGTTTAAAAACCATTAACTTACCCAACCCTGTCAAATTGTTTGTAATATGTAATGAAGCAACATTTAGCAATCTTTTGAAACACATTCTGTGTATAAAGTATCATGTATTAAAAGGATTTATTACCTGCGTATTCACCCATTTTTTGCCCTCCGAAGTGTCAATCACATGGCCATAAAAGTTCACCGGCAACATAAATTCTGGCCGAGCTTTCTCCCAGGGATTGCCATATCTGAGCCAATCGTCGGGCTCCTCTATTTGCTCACCGTTTTTTATTTTCTGTGCGAATATACCATATTCATAACGTATACCGTATCCATAAGCGGCTAAACCTAACGTGGCCATACTATCTAAAAAGCAGGCAGCTAAACGACCTAATCCTCCGTTACCGAGTCCGGCGTCTTCTTCAAGTTCTTCCAATTCTTCTATATCTAAACCCATCTACAAAAAATAATTATATGGAATTTTATAGATGATACAGAATTATACATATAGAATGATTAAGATGATCTATTTCCTAAGCACAAAGAAATGATAAAGAAATAAAATTAATTCTTAAGATCATGGACACGGTTAATTTCGGTTATGTTCTTAGGATATAATGTATTCGTCGTATAAAATTACTGATTAATGTTTATTTTCTATAAATGAGGCTTCTTTATCATAATTTCCTCTATACGAATACTTTTTACACTTCCTATATCATCATGTGAGTATGTATGCAGCGGCAATATTTTGTTTAGTTTGGTGACAGTGAAGTGTTCTACATTTAATACTATTGTACACAAGTTACGGGCAAATGACTTTTTTTATCAACATTTTTAGTTAGTCATACTTTAAAAACATTTATATTTAAAAACCTACTTTACGAAAAAAATAGGTTAGACTTTTATTGCTAATAATATAATAGTAATTTTTCACAAAGTTTCACATTACGATATTATCCTCGAATTTCGATCTATATAAATTACATTTTTTAATTAAAGAATATACAATTAGATATATTATTCAAGAAAAATGCGAAATCGAAAAGGAAAAAATATTTAAAAATGTAAGGGAAAAAATATCTATTGCGCTGTCCCTAATATCGATTCTTTGAAATCTCTAAGGCAAAATATTTGAATTTTGTAAAATCATTTTAAAGGTATATATATTATTAAGATTATAATGATTTTGATAATTAAGAAAAAACGATTTTTTTCACTCTAAACTAGAAATCTCCTTAATAAGAGTTACTAAATAAATAAATTCTTATATATATTTTCTAAATATCAAGAAGTATTTTTTCTTTTCTTCTGTATAAATATATATGACTTTGATCAATAAATTACACAAAATTTTTGTGTGAATCGCGTAATTATACCTTATTTAATAAATAGTAATAAAAGTATACTGTTAGTTATCTGAAGCAAATAAAAAACATAAGAAAGATCTTTTCACTTTCATCAATTCAAAAGAAAGTGAATAATATTTTTTTTAACTTAAAAGTAATAAATACATTTTTTTAAATATTCCATGATGGAAAAAACCGCTGAAATTGTTGAAATCGATTATGAAATACTATAAAGTCTAAGGAAAATTAATGAAAATATCTGAAAAATAATGAAATGGGAACAAAGTATATACACTGAAAAAAATGTATGTAATTTTACATGGAAATTACATGTATATGACTGGAAAATTATCTGAATTACATAAATATGCTTGGAAATTTACTGGAAATTGTAAATTTCTAATCATATTTAGGCAATTTTCCAGTCATGAACATGTAATTTCCATGTAAAATTACATGCATTTTTTTCAATGCATTTAAAATTATTTTTACAGATTCATTAATGAATTATCGAAAACAGAAACAGGATAATGTTGGAATTAGTTGAAAAAATATAATGAAATCTGCTGAAAAATAATGAAATCAGTTAACATTGTAATGAAAAGCGTTGAATTGATCTTTCTAGGAATGCTGCTCGAAGGTGTCAATTCTTGCAGGTAAAATTTAGTCGTGTTCTCTATATAACCAGTCTTTCTATATTCTATAATTCGTTATGCAATCGTTATGTGCTCGATAGTTGCGCAGATATTTTATATAGTACAAAAGCTGCGCAACTGTCGTTATAAACACAACGACTGGCTGGTATAAAGAAAGGGTGGTCTATATAATCGAAGTTCAGATTATCTGCAGACATGTTGAATTTATAACATATTTTTTGCATATATTCTAATATTGTAGTTTTATACCAACGCAAAACTAAATATAACAATATTTTGTATTGAATTATTTATAAAATATTAACGAATTGTAATGAAATCTTAATGAATTTTAATAAAATTTTAATGAAATAATACTGAAAGTGAGTCAATTTTGATTTCAATATGAAATTCAGTAATATTTCATCATTATTCATTACAATTCAGGAAAAAATTTCCATCAAGGTATATCTTTAAATTTCAAATAGTCCGTAACAATACAATTGTGAAAAGAGTTCTAAGAGTCAAACGCAATGCAGTTCACGTAGCATAGATATTTTACAACACACACACACACACACACACACACACACACACACACACACACACGCGCGCGCGCGCGCGCGCAAGACAAAATCTATTTATTAAACTTATATAAATTCAAATGAGGATACACATAACGAACGTTTCAATACCATTTCATCAAAACCAAATCATCCTCAGCGATCTCAAAAAGAGACTAAAGTATAGGCTTCAATCGTGTATTCTTAATGCTTCACATGATTGCGGCGAATTCTACTTGGAAAAAAGAAAAAAGCTTCGCGTTGATCATGTCGAAAATAAATTGCAAAGAATAGTCACTCCCTAAAAGAATTTTTATTTATATAATATGTTATTGAAAGCGAAGAACGTAAATTCTAAAACTAGTCTTAAGGCCTCTAAAAATATATTCTCGGGTACGTTACAACCTTTGAATGTAATTCCATTTCTTCATTACATTGTATAGCAAGATCCGTTGAGATATTAGTGAACAAAGAAACTACGTTCAAGGAAATTAAAATAAAATTGCTATCGGCTTGTAGACAACGATGGATAAAATACTTTTAAAATGTATCTAGGTACAGATACATGTGCGAAAATGTATCTATATACAGATACAGATACTTTAAAAGTCTTCTGTCTTCTGTCTATCTTCCGATACATATCAAATACTTTCAAATTACATTTTGTATTTTGTTATAATTATGGTAATATTAAAAAACATACTAAATAAATTATTTATTAATCACTTTTAGTTTCGTTATTTTGAAGACATTAAACTAGAATAGAATAGGTATAATAAAGTAACTAAAAATTCTTACGTACGCATCACACATGCTGTTTTTTATAAACAAAAACTGGAGTTTCGGCACTAATAATACTTTATCACTTCTATAACATGATACTCGACAAACGAAAAATTGCAAATTCCAATTAAAACGATTTACGATAAAACTTTCCAGATATCATTTGTTATTTTGCAAATCAAACTTATATTTGTTCAGACCTTAATCAGGAGTGACGTTAACACATATGTGATAGAATCGTGGCTTTGCTAAGGAAATGTATCTGAAAATGTATCTAAAAATCAATTTAGATCTATTTCTGTATCTAGATACAGATACAAATACTCGAATTTGAATGTATCTCAGATACAGGTTAGATACACAAAATGTATCTCTAGACATGTGTATCTAGATACCACCCAGCACTGCTTGTAAACTTGATAATTTGTAAACCAATTGAAAGCTACTACCAACATGACTCTCTCAGGTGTAAGTATACATTTCAAAAAAGGCAGTGCAAAAAGGCAGCTAAAGAATGCAAAGAATTATCGATAGACTAGAGAAACAAATAATTCTAAATGATATGTCAGTTTATAAACCTTGGAGAGCCCACATAAACTCTTGGAATCAATTCGTCACTGTAATATAACTTTCTCTATATAAACAGTGAAATGAATTCCCTGTCTTTTCAGCTTGTGAACAAAACCTGTACTTACATAAGTTTCGTGATCTTGCAGCATTTCTCATACGTATAACTTGAGTTTTTTCATGATTCTGTGAACAAGCTTAAGTTTGTTAAGATTATTATTCACGCACACACACACACACACACACACACACACACACACACACACACACACACACACACACACACACACACACACATCTCGAGGATTCTTAAAACTGAACTAAATGATACGCACAGAATGATTATTAGCACCCTTTTCATAATTGTATCGTTACTTGATGTGTAGAGTCTTATTTTTAATTCTTATTTCTGCCACGTAGTCTGGTAAAAAAATAATTTATTTAATACTTACGGGTATTCTTTTCGAAGTAGCTACACAGTTTACGGATTATTTCCTTGATATATCGTTAAAAACTAATGTTGCAATTTTTGTTTATCAAGGTGAAAAGCAACCTAATATTGAACCGCTTTACTGGAGGATTCTTTTTATATATACCTACTACTCAGAAATAATGTCTAATAAAATAGATTATTTTTTTTCACTGATAAGATGAATTACAAGATATTACAATTACTGGTTCATTTAACGATGTCTCAAAATACGGAAATAATCCGCAAATGGCGTACATCTTTTGAAAATAACTCGTTTATTTCAATTATTTTTGGAAATAAAAGAAATTGGTCTTTAGAGCGTGTTATTTTTTAATACATTTTTCATTATATATTTGATACATTTACATAAATTTATTTAAATAAAAGCACTTGCCTGATACATAGCTTCGTCGCATGCTCCTTGTATCCCTAAATTGATCATTGTATTTTGTAGCGATCTTCCCATATAATATTCCAAAGACAAATAATATACTCTCTGAAAAAAACAAGATTTGCAATACAATAGAAATATCCTATTTGATTTTAAAGTTATATCATACACAAAACGCCATGTGATTCCATATAATGCCATGTAATGATAATACATATCAGTCGTATAAAAGATCTGATATCAATAATCGACGCCAAGTTATAATCCCAAAAAGTTGTGTTATTTGACTCAACTCAAGTGAGACATATTTTACTTAACCCAAGTGATACGTATCAGTTGTATAAAAGATTGTGTAAACATATCGAACAGGGGACCCTGCTCCTATGACTTTGACCTTGACACATATTATCAAGGTCATGATCCTGAGTAACCTCTGACAAGTTTATGCGTCGGTCGTTATTAAAAAGTCATTAATAAAAAAAGTTTAATAAATAATGTCTTATTTCTGCTACATACAATGTTAAAAATTAATGTTAAGAACTATCCCAAACCCTTCCCTCCTTGCATAATGACTTTCCACGCAAAACCACGAGGTCCCCTTCTCTGCCAAGGGATGCATGACTGTCCACGTGAAGCGAGGACCACCCCACATCAAAATATGGTTTGGGTTTGATTATTCTTTTTGGACCCTGTAAAATCGTGCACCCCTAGGCAGGGGGGGAAGATGGGGTGAATCTCGCTTTACGTGGAATGTCGAACGTCTTTAGGCAGGACAGAGGTGGGGTAGTCCTCGCTTCGCGTTGTAAAGTGTACGCAAAGCAAGAATCTATTAGAATATCAATTTTACTAAATGACACTGTAATTTACACTTCTATGGAATGGATTTCATAACAATTAATTAATGAGGTAACAGTATAAAATGAAAAAAATTCAATTTAAATAAAATTTATATTTACATAATACAACTGATACATATCACTTGGGTTAAGTAAGATCACTTAAGTTGAGCCAAATAACGCAACAATTTTTGAGATAATAACTTGACGCCACTTATTAATATCAAATCTTTTATACGACTAATATTTATCACACTTGGGTTGAGTATTTGTATATTATTTGAGTTGAGTAAAAGTATAAATTTTTATAGGATTATAATTTGGCGCCACAGTTATTAATGTTAAGATATAAGAATTAATGTTAAGAACTATCCCTCCCGAAACAAGGGCCATCCCTTCTCTACCAAGGGATGCACGACTGTCCACGCAAGCGAGGACCAACCTATACCAAAATATGGTTTGGGTTTGATTATTTTTTTTGGACCTCGCTTCGTGTTATATATTTTTCAATTTAATACAATTTTTTTTGAGAAACACTTAACGCCTTTTTTTAGAAAGGTAAATTTGTACTGTTTTATAAATTATAAAGATACGTATCTCGTATCCTTGTAATTATACTTATGATAAATTTATTTATCATAAAGTATTCCCTTAAACATCTTCCACAAGGACTTTTATAATATTAAATAATATTGTACTATGTTAGAATATAACACATTTCATAAAAACAACTTTTTTAATATAGATAAGAAATATTGAAGGAGAAAACAAAGAACTTCAATGACTTCATTCATCTTTATTAACTTTTGTATTTTGCGGAACGCTGATGATGTTTAATCAGCAATTAATAGTTTACTTAATGAAGAAAAACTAAAAGTTTACGATTATTCTATTATATCTTCTTGTAATATGTTCTCATGAGGCTGAAGTAATTTCTCTTCTTCAGTCTTCTAAAAAAATTAGTATTATTTTTGTTTATAAATGTTTCACTTAAAGCTAATAATTAGGTTTTTTACTTTCTCCTTCAAACCTCGAATCCTTCTATTTATGTTCGAATGATCGTCTTTACAAAATACGTTTATATTTTAACACATTATTTAATATTATAGAAAGTCTTTAAAAAATGTGTAAGTCAAACTTTAAAAATAAAAGTAAAATTATATATTCATTATTAAAAGATTAATAATGATAAGGTATTTTAATCTGATATATTTTGATGCAACTTATAAAATATATAATGTATTCACACTTTTAATATTTTTATACACAGAATAAAATCAATTGATATGAAACACAAAAATCTTTTGATATAAAAAAAAATATGCAGTTGCGTATTGCAGATTGCATTATACTTTCTACTTTTTGTTACGCATATCTATGTACTTCCTTCATATTCACTGATTAATCATAATCATATTTTTATACGTACAAAGGTTAAAATAAGATGTATATACAAGATGCAGCTTTTATCTGAATTCTTATAAAAATTCTTCAGATATACATATAGAATAGATATATCGAAGCACATTACGTAGCATGCTATTATTGATAATAGCATTATCCAATTTTTAATGCTCTTCTTAATGAACTGTAATCGACTTATGAACTATAAAGACTTCCTATTTGCATACGATTGCAAAATATTTCTGATAAGCAAAATAATGCAAATAATATAAAATTTTCAAATTATCTAGAATTCTAGAGACTTTCTCATTGAAAAGAAATTTTATTTTAGAAGAAATATGGATTTAGATAGGTGTTGTCTTTTTATTTTGTTGTATATAAACATCTAATAGTGCAAAAATATAATGAAAATTGTACAATAGACGTGATTTTCTTAAGTATTATCCTCCATTAGATGAATATCGAACAATATTTTTTTAAGTCTTTAATTTTCGATTTTATATATTAATGGCTGTGTATTCAGCACGTCTTTTATTTTTGAAATTCTATAATAAACGTAAAGCGGTGTCTATAATTTTGGGATTTTAACGGACTATAAGCTTTAGGACCGGTTTATAATAGGCTGTAACTATTAACTTAGGTCGATGCACAGTGTGGGCTAGGAGATCGGAAAAAATGGCCAAAATGATCAATTAAATAAAAATGCTCGAATTGCTTACTCAAATTTAGTACTCGGGTATTTTTGAGGTCGCTGATTTCAAATCCGAACTCAAAATATAGAAATTCAAAATGGCGGATCCAATATGGCGAACAAAAATACTAAAAGTACTTCGATTGTGTTGAAATTTGGTATGTAAAGGTTTTTAAGGTCGTTGATTTCAAATCCGAACCCGAAATTTAGAAATTCAAAATGGTGGACCCAATATGGCGAACAAAAATATTTAAGTACTTTAATTGTGTTGAAATTTGATACGTAGAGGTTTTTGGAGTTGCTGATTTCAAATCCGAACTCAAAATTTAGAAATTCAAAATGGTGGACCCAATATGGCGAATAAAAAACGTAAATAAGTGCTTTAACGTATCCACGTACGTAAAGAATGCTGAACGGGGGCCAATTTCCAGCGCGCGCGCGCTGTGTGACCTTTTTACAATTCTCTGTGAATTACCAAAAAAGCGCACAAAAGTCGGTGATTTAACTTCAAGTACACACTGAGAGCAATACAGTAACACCTTATTTTTATAATTTAAACGCGGTACGTCGTGGTACAGCGTATCGGCATCTTGAACTAAATTGAAACACGGGAAATAACGCATATAAAATCGCTTACAGATATACATAGGTTGTCTGAAAAGTTTTAAGCCTCAACATGAAAATGGCATTACTCGTCAAAACAATTTTGGTACTATAATCGTACATACTTTGAAAGATATCTGCGAAAATTGTAGCTACTTCCGGCGCTTAGTTGTTGTTTGACAGTCATTTGTGCCAGTCAATGTCAATGTTTTTGTAAAAATGGAAAAAATCGAATATCAGCAGTCACCATGATAAAAATTCACGAATTGCGGTTCGAATTAATTGACCATCCACCGTATTCACCAGATCTGGCCCCCAGCGACTTTTTT